CTCAGCGTCAGAACTACCGCACATGTCTTTTTCGTCAGACTCGCTTGTTGATAAATATCTGGCTGAGTATTCTTCCGAAAGAGGCGATTCTTTCCCATATAAAGATGGTGAAGTTGAGGATATCTTTGGCTCACCCACATCTCATTCTCTTAATGACATTGCCGGTGATTTTGACGCTGAGGACTGGGGCTCACAGGTGAGAAGTCATGCCTTTTAATATTAGTACACTCCGATTGAACCTAGCATGTATCCGAGTTTTCCAGGAAAATTTTCACCGCGGCTCCAGCCCCAGCCAGAGGGGCAGAACGAACATTTTTATGACATAGACATTGACAACTCAAAGGATGACTAGTTTGTATTTCCCCGCCACACATGTTTATGTTATAAATTTAGTCAATTTTACGAATTTATTAAATTTCTTCACCAAATGGCATCCTCATTTTTAATTAAACGATGTTTAAGCAAGGGTACGACGTTTAGATCGCTACTTCCCGATAAAAATTCAATAAATAAACTGGTGGGTTCATGATCATCTAATTTCAGGCGATAGAGGAGAAAATTCTCAAGCTTTGGGATAAAGCGACGGAAGAAGAGCCTGCCCCCAAGGCTCCAGATAAAGTCTTTTTATTGCCGCCACCAAACATCACGGGAAGCCTGCATATTGGGCATGCACTAACTGCATTTATTCAAGTATCTTGAAGCTTTTCCTTTAGGATGCAATTACTCGAGCATGGAAAATGAACGGGAAAACGGTCCTCTGGATTCCTGGCCTTGATCATGCCGGAATATCAACCCAAGTTATCCTGGAGAAAAGGCTATTTTACGAACTTAATGTAAGACCAGCGTGGTGATTTTTTTGTAGAAAAAACGCTGGCAAGTTCCCCGAGCCGAATGGGATTCGTTTGCTAAAAGGTGGGTAGAATCAACTGCCCATTACATCACGACCCAGTTGAAAAGACTGGGCGTATCGCTTGATTGGAAAATGAAATATTATACGCTTGATACGTTCAGATCTGAATTTGTTTCCGAGAGCTTTATAAAACTATACAATCACGGTCTCATATATCGCTCGTCAAAGCTGGTTAATTGGTGCCCGGAGCTCAGATCGACAATTTCTGACATTGAGGTACTTATTTGGAAGCTGATTGCTTAAATAATAGATCGATACCATTCAGGTTCAACCTTTTGGTGTTATTTCTCTGCCTGATAATCGACAGATAAAGGCCGGCATAATGTATAAGATCAAATTTCCCTTTTATGAATCTTGCCATGAAGGAGTTATCATTGGGACAAGTCGTCCAGAGACTTTATTTGGCGATATTGCAGTGGCAATTGGATCTGGTTATCATATAGGAGAGGCGGGCTCTCTTCAAAGGCCAAAATCTATTTTTCATCCAATTTTACGAAAAGAAATTCCTTTGATTCTAGATGATGAAATGATCACCCCAGGTATGGGAACAGGGGCTGTGAAGGTATTTTTGAACCCCCCATTATAGATCACACCAGGACATGATAAGGCCGACTATGCGTTTGCACAAAAACACTTTGGAGTCGAATCTTTACCCCTGTTCATTGACATCTTTGATGACTCTGGCATTATAAAGAGCGGCATAGTAAATGGGACTGCGTTTTGTCATTTTTCTGGCCTTGATAGATGGCAACTCAGAGAAGCGGTACTTTCATATTTGAGAAGCGAAGATCTTTTAGTTGGGGAAGACGGAATTATACAAAATATCCCAATTTGCAGAAAGACTGGTGATGTGATCGAGCCTCGGCTTCTGCCTCAATGGTAAAACAAGTATTATATTTTCAGGTTTCTTAAGACAAAGCCACTTGCAGCTGTTGTTTTGGATGCAATCAAGGGGGAAAAGAACACGTTTAAGATTTTCCCTTCGTCATCTTTTGCGATTCTTACCAACTGGCTAAACAACATTGAGGATTGGTGCATCTCTCGCCAACTGTGGTGGGGACACAAAATTCCTCTGTTCTACCCCACTGATGGGGGAGTCCCTCCAATTGCTGCTAAAAGTCTTGAAGAGGCAAAAAAGATTCATCCAGGAGAACTAATAGAGGAGTCCGATGTTTTGGATACTTGGTTTTCTTCTTGTCTTCTTCCTCTGAGCGCTTCAAGTGGCTATTATCCTATCAGTCTTCTTGAGACAGGAGCAGATATACTATTTTTTTGGGTTGCTCGAATGATGCTCCTTTGTACCTTTTTGAGTGGGAAGCTTCCTTTTAATGCAGTTTTGCTACATGGCATGGTGCGTTTTTTGTAGCCTTTATTTAGGTGAGAGACTCTTTTGGCAAAAAAATGTCCAAAACTCTTGGAAATACCGTCGATCCGATGACCATAATCAATGGAGACTCAGATCGAATCGATAGCTATTCCATAAGACCCATCTCTTCATCCAATCCAACGGGAAGCAATTCGACAGATATTGATCCGATTTCCTGGGGATCGGATTCTCTTAGAATGGCATTGTTGAGCTGCAATTTTATGGTTCGATGTTATCGCTTTTGATTTGGGTAGTCTACTGATATTGTGTTCTCCAAAAAATACCTCAATGCTGCTAGAGCGCTTGAAGTTAAAGTTGTCAATTCACTCAAATGGATACTAACTCAAAAAGAGAAGCAGCTAACCTTGGACATTTCTGCTGATAAGATGAACTTGGTAGAAGAATTTGTTTATTTTCGCCTTGGGGCGGCAATGGAAGTCAGCAATCATGCTCTGGCCAATTCATTTAACCTGGAAAAGGGACTTTCAGCGCTAACGGGGTTTTTTATGGACACATTTTGTGGGGCTTTTATAGAAATTGCAAAAGGTCGCCTTTACGATGGAAATTTGTTCCATATTTTGAACATCTTCGCTATTTTTCTCAAGTCCTTTCATCCATATTGCCCGCTATTAACTGAGGCATGTATTCGTTTCTTATTCTAGTTTTGTTGGCAAGTTTTGAAAGAGTGTTATGGAAGTACTCCAATGTTGGAGATTTTCAAAGCCGATGCATTATCAAAGACGACTATTCTCGAAACTGAGATACAGCTTCTCAAAAAACCCGCACCAATGGTGGATGAGGAATTTTCCAGCCTGCTAAATCTTGTTTCTGCAATTAGGATCACAATCGGAAATTTGAGTCCCCTAAAAGCATCCAAAATATGGATTCTTTCGACCGAAAGTCTTGACCTTGGAATCATTAGGTCGATGCTTAATATGGGTGACATTTTTGTGCAAAGCCATATTGATAATGAGAAATTATTAGCAAGGTGTTTTTCGCAATGTGTCCTTTTATCGAAGAAATGTTCCCCATATGCAACGATTGAATTTTACATAGAAACTATGCAAACCGGAAAGCATAAGCCAGATTTTAAGGCAATTCTTAAAAAGCAGGAAAATGAACTGTCTCGTTGTGCTAAGCAGCTGGAATCGTTTAATGGCAAGCAAACAGGGACATCTGATTTGACTCTCCTTAGGGAAAAATTCGACTTTTTAGTGAGGGAGCTGGAAGAGAAGATTAAACGAACAAAAAGAAACATGGATTTATTATGAAAGCCCTATTTACTTTTCGAAAGGAAAGCTGAGAACAAATCACTCTCATCTCTAACCCTAATCACAGACATATTACTTACTTGTCCTCCATTGGACTTTGGAACAAATCTTCAATGATTTTTTTCGGAATTATTATATCTAATGTTTATAAAAAGCACGATACTTTTGAGAATTTCTGGAGATCTTTTCATGAGCAGCCCTCTCGCGGAATCCAGGGAGAACACATTTGCATCCATGGAGAGAGCGACCCACAAGTGATAAAATTTAATGTTGTGTTTAAAGTTAAAACGATAATTTGTTCTTCAACGCTTAATTTTAAACTTTCGCAAAGCACCAGTCTTCAATGTCCCATGCGAAGAAAGGTCGTCAAAGAAAGTGAGAATAAGGTTTTAGACCTTCATTTGAACTGGGTGCGTTGTCTGGAAATATCGTGCCAGTGCATCGCAAAGTCAGATGGGACAGCTATTTAATAATATTTTAATGTCAAGTAGGCGGGATTGTAGCCGCAATTTTTATTTATTGATGCTTTTTTGTCCGAGTTGCGGAAATTTACTGTTGCTCGATAAGGGTTCAACCACGCTGGTTTTTGATTGCAAAACATGCCCATATGTGTATCCAATATTGAAGACGGTTTGCACGATGCATACCATTTATTTTGTAGTTCACCAATAAAATGGAGCTGGAAAGCAAAAGAGTCGATGACATATTGGGCGGTGCGGAGGCCTGGAAAAATGTCGATTCCACAGATATTGTTTGCCGAAAATGCGAACATGGCCGCGCATATTTCATGCAAATACAAATCCGGTCAGCAGACGAGCCAAGCTCGATCTTTTACAAGTGCTGTAATCCATCGTGCTCCTACCAATGGAGAGAGGGCTAATTCCTATTTATTTTTGTATTAAATTTTTTACTGATGCCATTCCCATCTGCGTGCTTGAGCATGCGCGCATTTTGGCGGTGCTATCGATTATCAATATGCTATCGTACTATCAGGTCTTTGCTTTGGTAGGGGTGATTTAATGAGCTTTTGATTTACTGGTGTTTTTGGATGATGAAGAGCGGGAAGATGATTTGCAGGATGAAGAGGAAAGTAGGTCAATGACCCACAAAAATCTATTCCTAAATGAAGAGGGCTGCTGCTTGAAGAATTCCTTCAAAGCAGACCCCAATTCGGGCTCCATTGCAATTGCAGCTGCCAATTGCTCCTTCGGAAGCTGGATGACAATCTGCAACGAAACAGGAATCATTTTCTAAGAAATTATACGTGCCATAGCTACTTTGCAAAGCGTGACAAAGTTTTCCCACAATTCAGGCTTGCCCTGCCAAACTTTTCTTGACACAAGACGTACCATGAACGATACGGCAAAATTGGCCACCTGCCTTTGGTTAAAGCTAGCGCCTGTTGATAAAGAAAGGCCAAGCTATGGCGATATTAAAGGAACAAAACCATACCATATCTAAAACCGTAGAGGGGGGAAGTGTAATTGAGTCGATCAATGACTGAAGCGAAGACAAGACGACTTCTTGTTTGAAAGACTCTTTGAGCTCAAAGAGACACGTTCTTATTGCTAAAATGTAAAGGCAAATGGCACACGTACCCGATACAATAAGCTTGGTGTCGATGGTTGAGTAAAGGTTGTGCAATGTAGTTAGCAATTCCATCGGTGTGACGGATCCTACCGAAAGTGGGTTGAGGATTGCAAGAAGGATGTTCTTGAGCGTTGGGATGCTCTGAATTCCCTCCAGTTCGCTCTCTGCATCCGTAAATTCCTTTCTCCGCAATCTTTCGACGTCCACAATCAAAAGAGGTAGAAATTCCAAAACCAGGTCCTAACAAACGATTACAAGTGAAACGATGGCGAGACACATAGAAAGACAATCAAAAGGGCATAGTACCTTTTCTAAGCCCCCAAGCAACGGCACCATGAACATAGTTCCAAGTTGGTGAGTCTTGATTACCTCCATGATTGCCATGATCAATCGCTTATCAAGTCTGTGTGATATGTTCTGTTTATCTGTGTCAAAAGAAAGGCTATTAACAAGGTAGCCCAAAAAGGGTTCTCCCCCCCTACGATAAACCCTAAGCACATTATTAACCAACTCAATTCTGTTTTGTGAATTGTAAATGTTTAAAATTGTCTGTCTCAAGGGAGACATTTTCCTTCGATGAGTTGAAGCATCCCCCTCAACTTGGTCAACTTGAATTCCCGCATCTTCCCCCTGCCCCTCCCCATCCCTCTCTGCCTTTCCCTCCACACCTCCTTCCTCAATCACATCTTCAGCGAAATAAACACGCCAATTGTCGTAGAAATAGCACAGAAACGACGGATATCGCATACAGAGAGCAAAAAAGAGATCAGACTTGGCCTCAATGGCGCTCCTGGCACATTGGCGGGCAGAAGAATCTTGTTCTTTTTTGACCTCCTCGCCAGGGGCGTGTCCATAATACTTTTCCATTATCGTGGAGTCCAGAGATAGCTCCCGTAGCTGGTTTAAAGCAAAGTCTTTCAAGAGTAACAGGAAGAATTCATTTTTATCCTCCAGTGAAGGCATCAGCTTTTCCAAAATAATGTGAATAGAAAAGTGTCGATACCCTTTATGTCTGTGCGTCAGGAATTGAAGCAAAACAGGCACCAAAAAGGACCTGACCTTTGGTCTCAGTTTACATAGCTTACAAGTTACTCCGAGAACATAGCACAGGCGCCGCAATGACAATTCTTCAGCTCCAAGTTGAAAGGTTCCGTCAAATTGCGGGGAAGTCTCGTGGTGGCTGGTTATGGCCGATGAAAGAACCGAGTACAGATTGCTTTGAAGGATATTGGCCGTCGCGATTGGAGAAAGGGCCAAAAAATATGAAAGGTTTAGCAGATTTGCATCTCTAGATTCAAGCAAAAGGGCAACCGTGTCCTTTATCACTTGACTCTCCAGTGTTGAGTTTTCAAACTGATCTTCTAAATTTGTGTAGCTATTGTCGGCGACAAGGGAGCATTTCACCTCATCACAGAACGATGAAATTATAAAATTAAAGATCTTTTCAAGACGCTTGTCACATCGAGTGAACCTTTTATAGTACCATTCGTGATGAAGCCAGAGCAAGGCAAGGGTTACGCGTTCCGAATTCAGGGAGCCAGGAAAAGACAAAAATTTCAAAAGCGACTCTGAAATGTATCCGAAAACCTTGCCAAAAGAAGCATCCTCGCCCGCGTCCTTCTTTGCAATGGAGTCAACAACCGTTGAGAGGCGCGTTACTATTTGCATCCAAAATAAATATTCCTTCGGACATTCAGAAAGACATCTCAATTGAGATTGCGTGCATTGGACAATATTATCCGAAAGAGAAGACAAAATAGAGACCTTGATCTGCTCTGGAGACTGCTGCTCCAATTGGTCATTCACTTGCGCAGAAAGATCCTCAGACTGCAGGTTTTCGGAAACAGGCTTTGAAGGCTTCGTGGCTTCAGAGAGCTGAAAAAGTTTTTCTCTCAAAGAATCCTCTGTGATGATATTTGAGAATATCTACAAAAACAAAAAACAAAAAATGGCCAAACCTCAAACGAATCAACCAGATCCTGCTGGGTGCACGAAAGGAATGTGTTCATCAGCATTTCGATGACAATAAAAACGGGAAGCTTCGAAATATCAATCGGTAGAAGCCGCATTTTGTTTGTATTTATTCTGACACACTTGGTTAAAAGAAACTCTGTTTTTTGGATTATCGTTGAATCGAGAAAGGATGAAGAGGTGGCGGGTTCCAAGCCAATTGCGCCTGCAGCTTCCGTAGACGTGTCTCGTTGCTTGGCTTTTTTGGAGATTTGGAGCGCATTTTCTGAGCTGTTGAGCTTTACAGATTTCAATTTGGTAACCAGCTCGTAAATCGAATGTTGTATGATGGAAGAATATGAATTGTTGAACCTAAAGGAAATCCAACGAAGAATACCTTGCCAGCAAGGATAAAGCGCATTTGAGAGAAAGATTTATCGATCGCTGATTAAATGCCAATTTGAGGCCAATTGGAAATTCCACAAAAGTCAATATGAACGAAGTTATCATGGGAATACAGTCCGTGTGTTTGTGGATTCCGGCAAACCGAATGTAGGACGATAGAAGGTAAATAAATGCAATGACATTTCCATGCTCCCTAAATAATGAGCGTTGAAGGTTACATTTTTCGGGGCGTTCTGAAGGACTCTATCACGTAATCGATCAGAAAGGTGTCTGTTAAATAATCTTGCACGATGCTCGAATTGTTGAGCTTTGAGAGGACATTTTTAACATAAGGCCACAGTACAGCCATCCTTACAACAAACCGTAACGACAGGTTGATAGTTTGCTCAACGTAAAAGGTATACTCTTCGTAAAAGGGATCCCCCCTTATGTATCCCAGTATCGACTTGGTAATTACAGAAAGTTTCCCTAAAAGAGCGGATGCTTCAGAGAGACTCAGCTTGGATGTGAACAAAATGTCCATGTCTTCGTTCTCTGAATTGCTGATGTCTTCGACAATCTTTTTAAGTATTGGCTCATAAATGGAAGATAAAAAGCGGACTGAAAGGTAATACAAAGGAGACGCAAGATTTTGGCTTGGAAACCGAAAATTGGTCATGTGCAGGATAAGCTCCAAGGAAAGGTCAGAGTCTACAAAATTAGTTTGGGCCCAAAATACCTTCGTAAGATATCAAAGAAAGTCTATGGGCGAAATGCAAAAGGGCACCCAAAGATGCGAGGAATAAATAAATATTTGATGCAGGACTTTGAAATACTTTTTCCATACAAGTAGATTCGAAAATACTTGCCATTGATTTCCGAATGACATGAAAACAAGGCGAGAGTGGGATAAGCGGATTGGCATTGATTTCGATCTGCAATTTTTCTACAAAATCATCGACAAGATTGGATAAGGCTTTGAAAAGGTCGTTCAACCCATCACAACTTGGCTCGCTTTGACGGCATGACAATTGGTCCCATAATTCGGATCTTGTGAATTCTTCAACATAATCCATTCAAATTTAAATTAAATTTGAAATTGGCTTTATTTACAAATGGAAACCTCACCGCTCCTTCATGCTTGGGGGGCGAAGTAGCAAGAAATTGCGCCATACTCCATACTCCTGGATCGGAAATTCAGAGTTAAATCGGAAGGCGCTCTCTTGGTGCGGTTTTTCGCCGTCATTCTTCAATTCCTGCGATCGGTAGAACGTAAGCTCGCCATTCAGGGCAGAGATTTTCTTTTCGTTCTCTTTATTCTTTTTGATTGCCTTGTAATATTTATCAACTATTTTTTCATACTCTTTTTCAAATTCCGATGGCTCCGGGTTTTGTTGCACAAGCGAGGCCAATTCATTACTCGAGAGGGACATGAAATTTAAATTTTAAAATTTAATAAATTTCATGTCTGGTCCGTTAAACCTGAAGCCGTTGGGCCATGTGGCTCCACTGCGTACCATCGGCACCTCTAATGCCAAGCAGCATGCCACCAGATCCGGGTGTTTCCCGCCTTCTAAATCATATATTCGGCCATCTCCATTCGCCCCAAATGTACAGATAATGAATTTCGGTCTGGCTGATATAAACAATTATGTTCTTCCGGGGGGGATCCCTGTTGGCTCGATCTTTGGGATTTTCTCTCCCAATCCATGGTTAGATCTGCCTCCTTCACATGAATTAAAACCAATCAATGAGGTGGATACCAGTGCATTTCATATTTCGAATCTTATCGCAATTGCTTTCGCTGCCCGTGGGGTTCTAATTGAAAACTCAGCCCTACTAGTTATAACGGGTCTCCATTCGCCAAAAGGAGCTCAGGCATCTTCGATCTCAACATGCTTTTCATTATGGCCGTCGCTTTGCTCACAGAAAGTGATTGAAGAAACAATAATTGAAGAAAAATCGATTCCCATGAAAATAGCCTGGAGATATAACACCTTTAGGTCTGGTAATCAAACGCCCACTCATACACATTTGTCTTCTGGCGATTTAAACAAAGAAGCTGGCCCCTCTTTGGATTGGACCTCCTCTATAAATTGCGACAAGCATCTCCTCCAAAAGGTGAAGGACACGATGCACGTGATTTCGCTGGCAAAATCTGAAACCCTTAATGAAGTGAGGCTATTAATTGATAATTTCTTCACATTGCTTTCAGAACATCCTTTTAAAACAGCGCGCATTATAATAGAAGATCCGTTTAGCATTTATTCGAAATTCTCAACCCCAGAACAATTTGCTCCAACATTAAGCCACATAAAAGGCTATAAAGGAATTCCCATGTCCACGACTTTCATTTCTCCAAAGCAATACGAGACTAATGAATATCTTACTCGAGCGCTTGATGGCTATGTAGAACTCACAAGCTGTCCCAAAGAGCTTCTTCCAAAAAAATCAATTCCCTCTTCGGCCAACGCTCTTATGAGATGGAAGAAGCCGTTAAAGCTCCCCAATTCCACATATTGGTCACCGCCAATATCCATAGGTGGCGTGTGGCAAGTCTCATTAAGTAGGAGAAAAGCGATCGCATTGGTTCCAGTTTCGCTGCCCGTTGCTGATGAGGATGACGGTAATAGTGAGCATTCCTTGTCCTGTTCTTCAAGTACAACAAATTGGTAGCTATTAAATTTAATTAATTTAATTGATTCGTTAAACGTTTAAAAGATTTTAAAACGATTTTTTTTAGCCAATGAAGTCTTTCACATTTGTCATTTCCTTCTTCCTGGTTCTAATCTTGGTTCTCTGTAATGGTGGCCTATCTTTCCCTATGAATTTATTCCATAAAAGCCCAACAGAAGCAGATAGACATACTTTCTTACCTAAATGGCTGTTTTCGGGCTTCTTGCCCGCCCCCATTGTGTCCTTTATTGATAGCACATTTGGATACCTGGTTTGGATGTTGTCGCTGCCTATTTTATTTTGCTATGAACTGTCGGACCAAGTGGTTGGCCTAGCTGTTACTTTTATAAGTGCTCTTTTCATCTTTTTAGGCTGTATGCTGATCTGGAGCATCCCCGTCAATATATTCTGCTCCATTCTGCTCAATAGCGAATGGCGATCTAGGAAATTTTTCTTCTTATTTGTAGAGGTTATCTTTTCACTCACTATGACCCTTTGGTATCTTCAAGAAAAGGTTTCTTTATTTGTTGTCTTTTTTCCAATATCCTTGCCCTTTAAAGGTTTATTGGATCGGATAAAGCACAACAACTCTCCATTGTATGACTCCATTAATCACCGATGGATCTCTTTTTTGGATATTTGGTTATCTTTATACTCCAAACTTAGGCTATGCGTATCTCTCAAGCTTTTTTGCCTCTTTTCTTACAATATCATTGTATTCTTCAAATACAAGTTTTCTTCAACACGCAATATGCTTGAGAAGATTTTTGGAAGGAGAGTTACCGACTTTCTCTATTCCATTCGCGACTCTTTTCTATTACTACTTAGAACACAACCTCCTGCAGTGATATCTGCGAAAGAAACCAAGCTTCTCAAGATAAAGGCGGGTGCTTTATCATCCCAGTCAAGTTCCATCGATCAAATTCCTTCTTCTGGTTTAGTAGAATTGGTCAATGACACCACGGTACCTATCGAAGATCTACAAAGCTCAAATGCCGACACCAAACTTCCCCCCATGGTAATAGATTCGGCACCCGTCGAATCTTTACCCATAAACCCTTCCAAGTCAGAATGCCGGTCAAATATCAACTTACAGTGCGTATCGGATTTAGATATAGCGCCAACATCTTTACAGGAGCCTCGACCTGTGCCCCAGACAGAGTCCTCTTCCTTTTCCACCTCCCTGGCTGAGACTACTTTAATGAGCATCCTTTTTGTAGCATATTTAGTGCTCTAGTCATGGTCTTGCTCTATTTGTATTAATTTCCCACATAGACTTGCTTGCATCGATCGGCTAATATTACTTTTCTGGCCGAACCTTGCTGTCGGCTCCATCTTCATAGGAGAAAGGACTCCAATATTCAATTTGTTTAAAATTTATTAAATTTTGTGGTTTAATGGGACACTTAATTTTATGACAATTAATACACTAAATCGAGGAGACAACGCTACAAAGCCCCACTCGTTATGGCTTGGAAAACCTGATTATAGGTGGAGGTAACGGTGAAGATCCATCCATAAATGTCATTGAGGGGGCAATGCCACCCTCTGTGGCCTTCAATGAGAGCGATGGCGATCCATGCATGGTGGGTTCAACTTCATGATAAGCATTTTTTGGCTGCCTACTACCGGTCATTTGCTGCAAGCTATCAAGAGGCATCATATTATGATCATCATCTTGGGTTTGGTTGTCTTTTTTGGTAGCAGAGGATGTGCTCGCGCCATTAGTGCTTTGTTGGCCGTCTTTCATCTGAGAAAAGGCATCAGAAGAACGACTGCCAACCGGCGCATTAAGAGGTACAAATGGGGTTAGGTCAACCTCTTCATCGTCATTAAAATTTTCCTTGTCGTCTTCGACCATTTTATCGTGTCCATCATCGCCATCATCTTGTTGATCATCCGCAGCCTTAACGTCGGATGATGCTCCCCCCATAGACACGATTTGAATGATCTTAAAAAAGGTGCGAGGAAGATAGAGTGAATTGAGTTTTTTGAAGAGAGTCGGGTTTCTATAAGGATTGCTCATGTACCATTCAACGGTTTCTCTCAAATCCCGATCAATCGAGGAAGAGCCTCCGGATAGCGCAAAAGAGACCGAGGGTCGACTCGATGATCCCATCGCGGATTCAGAGCCTGCCAAGGTGGAGGATTTAGAACTCAGCTTTCCATTTTCAGATGATACCGTGCTCTCTGGCAGTGAAACTACCTCTGAAGAGCAAGTTGGCCGAAGCAGTTCACAGCCGCTAGAAGTGGCAGAGGAGGAGCCACTGCTACTTGATTCAGCTCCAAGTTCATCGCACGGCCCCACTTCGACTTCTGCCAAAAAGCTCTTTTGTCGGGAAATAAGAACAGCAACCAAATCAAGCGTTGATCTGCCGCCAAGCATCGCTCCAAGAGAAAGGGCGTCCCGTGCATGTAGACGTGGGATCGATCGCTTGTACTCCGGATATCGTGCAGCCGGTGCCAGGTCAGGCCGCGCGCCAGCAGGTACATATGAAGAGGCCGTCCGCGTGATACGACGGATCAAACGCCATATGATTATTGTAAAGACCAATGTTGGCATCACTGCAAGCGCCTGCAGCTTTGCGCCCTGGAACGACAGCTGAATTGCTGTCATAACCTGAAAAGTGGCCATCCCCAAACACAGAAAGCCAGCAACATCAAAAAGAAAAGAGCCACCAGATTCCCACGTGCTTCTGGCAGTATACAAAAAGCGATAGCGATAGACTAAATATGCAATTCCATAATAGATGGTTCCAATGCCGAGCATCAGTGGAGAGATCACAGCATATGTGAGAATAAGTGGCACAGAGAAGAGAAGTAACGGAATCACAATGCCATAGTTGAGCCTCTCTGGAGAACGGCCCTCTTGACGTTCACGTGGTGTCTTGAGCGATGTGGTGGAATGGCCACTTCCACCACCACTTAATGCGCCCAGCGATATAAAGAAGAAGAGACCCACCGGATTTGCAAGAGTTAGAAAGAGATCGTTGGCCACTTTGATTGCGATCAGATTGAAGAAAAAAGAAGACTTGGGAACCAGCATTTGGCGGATCTCCTCAACGATCTTGGAAAAGTTGCCGTCCTCAATGAACGGCACTATAGCCGCGAGAATGGAGCCTGAAAGGAAGGAAACAAAGAAAGTCTGTAAGTACAGAAAAGCCAGATACTTTCTCATCAGCGAGCGCTGCAATGCTGTCTTTGTAGGAACACCTTCATAGCGCGAAATCGCATCCAGAGCATAAGGAACAATCACAAGCAACCCATTGAGTAACAGTGGCGCGAGTAAGCCCTCAATCAGTGTTTGTATGGGGCGCGGTAGGTGAAGCACCCAATTGAGTCCGGGAACCACTTGTGCGATTCTGTTGATTTGATTAAGCGAGTTGACGAAGGTTACAGGAAAAAACCACGTCAAGTTTAACAAAATAATGGCAGCATAGCCACTCCAGGAGCGGATGCCACGCAGAAATGCGGGAAGCCCGATATTGCCCCACATGATCTCATTTGGACGGGGTGCTAGCTCTGTGCGACAAGAAAAAGGGGTCCCATCAATAAGCACTTGGGAGATGATTGAAGCCGCAGTAGCCTCACGAAAAGTCACAAAAGCTGATCGCGTTTGCTTTGGCATCGCAAGTCTGGCATCATTGAGAACTTCCCCAAATAGCTTTTTTGAGAAAAAGGTAGCCCTCTCATCTGCCAACCCAGGTGCCCGTTTATGATGTTCCATAGCGGCAGAAATTGACGGAGGGGTTGCCTCCTCTTCTTGGCACTTGGAATTTTTGAGATCTTGCCTATCGCTTTCATCTGATGTAGCCACGCAAGACTGTGGTGGCGTAGAAGAGGATGCTTGCACCAACAACAACCGCGTGTCGTTGACGAGCATTCCTTTTGGCAATTGAAGTGCCTCTGCTTGGAGGTCTTTTTGTGCAGTCTCCAAAGAGCTTTCAGAAAGTAGAGCTCTTGACTCGGAAAATATGGAAAGCCGCTCTGCCTCAATCAAATGATCTATGGCTGCAAGCTTGGCACCAAGAGATGAAATCAAATCTCGTGTACTTGAACCTCTAGAGGATGATCCGGATCCTCTTTCAAGGTCTGATTCTTGAGAACCAAGATTTTTCTCTTTGCCTTTGAAGCCAATTTTTTCGGCGAGCTTGGCCCACAAAGATTTTCCTATCAGTGGCCTGAGTTCAGAAAGGAAGTTTGCATCAAAGGATACTTCAAGCAACGCTCGCTTGCGAGCTGGGGTTAATGGAGGTAATGACAAAGCGAGTGATGATCCCAGAAGCTTGTCATTGTCTTTTCCCTCTTCGATTGTGATCAATTGATGGATCAATTTTAGCACTTCTTTTTGCTTCAAGGCTTCAGGAACAGGCTCATTGGAAGAGGGTGCTTGTGGGGCGTCAGAAATGGCAATCTGACGGCGCGCTGCATGCAGAATGGCATGCATCCAAAGAACACATGCAGACTCAAGCTTCCGAAGGACTATGTTGCGCTCACGAATCAGGTGGCGTAGCCGTGGATGGTCTTTGATGAAGGCTGACTCTATGACCAAGCCGACAGAACACTGGTCGAAGAATGCGGTCACCGATTCTTCAGAAGTAAAGCGGCGAGAATCCAACCCTTGTACTAGTACTGTTCGCGAGGGAATGTCTAGCAATCCATAAGTTTGCTCAAGGCTTCCCGTTACCCGATAAAACGCAATCAAATCCAGGACAGAAGTCAGCGAGGCCGGCGAGGCAATGTATGCCTGACGTAAATGTACATATGCCGAATAAAAGAGGATCAGAGCATATCCAAAGATTAGCGAAAACAGCCACACCGCCAACGTGGGCATCCACAGCCAAGGCGACCCCGACTCTAGATGTGCAATCGATAGACGCGAATAAATTTGCGTCGAAGTGGTGGTCACCTGGGCCCCATATGTGCCATGCATATATACCGGCAGTAATATTATGCTAGCAATGATGGACAACAGTAAAAATGTCCAGAAGAGCATTTTCAATATCATGATCAGAATGAAGGCATCCATCCCGACAAGAGTCAGAAGACGGGCATCGGGGAGGAAGAACGTATGCCTGATCCATGCCCAGGAAGCAAGGCCGGATTTTGCCTCTGGAAGCAATGGGTGATATCTGCCAAAAGTTGCCGTATTGGGGCGATAAACCCACTTGAGTTTGCGTCTGAAAAATAAAAAAACAACAAGGAAAATCAAGGAAAGGGCTATTGCATAGAATGCATTATATACAATGGTTGCATCCAAATTGTCTGGAATCACTGGGGCGCTGTCATGCTCGCCGCCCTTTTCGGAGGAGGATGACATTGATTGCGGGTAAGACGAAATAGCGTGCTGTACCAACAAGTTGTTGAATTAACCTTGAACAAATTTTGATTGGGCAATGCTGGTTTTATGGCGACAAATTGCAACAATTTTAAAGTCTGCCCATTTGGAAAATATTTTCCAAATGGGAGATTTATTTTCATTCCGCATCAAGCTAGATATCATCATCGGAATGTTCGGCTCTTCATAACAAAGCCTTATAAATTGCAGCTCTTCATCTTGCTCTTCCCATATTCCTGGTGATGCGCAACATTCCTGTTTTCTGCCTTTTCACACTTGCCTCTCTTTCGCTTGCATTTGGCGTGCTCATAGATAGTCCTATCGTTTTCAACACCACAGATAACAAGCCGATAGAATACCTTTACTTTTACGGCATCAACAAATTGAATATCTCGATGGCCAGAGATAGGTGCCATTTATTTGGTGGAATACTTGCCAATGTTTATTCGCAGAATGTCCTCAGCACGATTGGAAAGTATATGCATACCGGCGACCCTGCATATATCAATTCTTGGCAAGGAAACACTTACAAAGGAACTTGCATTGCTATATTGAAAGGCCCAAGTGGCGTAAAGCCTGGGGACAATAATATCGCCATATTTGGTACTCAGCGTGAAACATCTAACTTTTAGTTCCCCCCGATCCGTGCCACTCTGCCCGTTCGTTTATTTGCGAAAGGATGTTTAGAACGAATCCTTGCTCTTAGAATTTTGAATAAATCTTTCCTTAGCCAATTTGCTTCGTGTAGCGGTTTCAATTCAAATCAAATATAGCGGTTCAAAATACGAATGTCGCTGATAATGGGGCTTCAAGGTGTCTCGTCTCATCAAGTTAGGACAAGTAAAAGGAACATCGTGGAACCACTTATCGGATCATCGTGGAACCACTTATCGGATCATCGTGGCACCACTTATCGGATCATCGTGGCACCACTTATCGAATCATCGGGCCCTTCGTGGTATGTATAATTTATTTTTCAGCTGAATGTTGCGGGCTTAACATAAAGATGCAGGATGTTAGCCTCCGTTGCAGCATGGCAATATTTCGCTATCTGTGCGTCTAGGTCTTTAGTATCTTTACATATCGATCTATAAGGTAAATAATGACGCCAAAGTTACTTGAGAAATGGAATGATGTCAGAATATTTCCACGGGTTCATTATTGTAAATAAAATCTGGCAGCGCTCTTTAAATGCCGATGGAAGAGAATACTCGGGAAAATATTTCAAATACACCTGATCATTGCCGGTATTGTGATTTTTGTGCACCTCCCTTAAACATAATCCCTTATGGTGTGACAAAAATCCGGTAC